CAGCCGTGGATCGTTAGAACTGTGACAGTCAATTTTTCCACACAGTTAAGAGAAGCTGTGGGGCTGCTGACTAGTTGCCCCTCACCCTTATCAGCAGTTCTTATGAAGAAGTGGCTCTGTCTGAGCTTTAGATGTCTCTGATTTCGCCGTTTAGTCTATGTGTTGCATAAGGTACCATTCTATAAGTATCATTACATTAACATTTGGGACGCGATGCGTACTTTTAATGTTTTCTTTTTTAATAAAGTTTCTTTTGTAAATGTGTAATTGATTGTATGTAGATGAGGAATCAGAAGAAAATAGGATATTTATTTAAAAGTTTCAGTTGACTTTGTCAGAAACTCGTTTTAAAAGTTTGAAGAATCGTTTAACTTAAACCGACTGCCGGTTTTGGTATTCTGAGAGTTGTATCTCATTATTCTCCTCTCGCCAATTTTCTAGCTCACACGGCGGGTTCGAAAAAAGAAGAATAAACAAACAGAGAATCAGAAATTATCTGATATGTCAGTCACGGAGTATTGGTGACACACTTTGGTGACACATTTGTTCATTTATGATAAAAGAGGTAATTCGAGATAAATACCTATATAGTTTTTAATGCTTATATCACGAAGCTAAAATTACTTACCAATATTCCTTACGAGTCTGTTTTACACCTGCAGTTAAAACATTCTGCAGGAATGTAGTCTCCAAACAACAAGTGAAAGTGCACAACAGGGTCGTTTATTATACAATAATAATGTAGGTTCGTTCTAATAGTTTGTTCAGAAATAAGTAGCACGTGCTAATCACGTGTTGTAAATATGTGCTGATTCACTTCAGTGCAATTTTTGTTCAACTTGGGGCATGCTGATGGGTAAAACAAAATACGCGGCCTGGCTAATTAATGAATGAATATTTACTGTAAAATTCTTATCAATACTATAAGTGTAGTTACCAGTTTGGCCGCCAATTTTTATATCATTCCATTAAGTCGCACACTCAATCCTTTTTTGGGCACATTTTTTTTTTTCACACATAAGGTGTTTTTGATTAGATATCATGACTTTTTGTCAATACGCACCAACAAACCACACCAAATGACAAAGTGACACTCGATAGTAACCAACATTAGCTTTGGGATCGCAACCCTATTATTAGGAACAGACCTATACCTTACAGAACCAACGCGATTCTTTAAAGTATATGGTGTTAGTTTTCTTCTCTAAAATAGTGTTAACAGCTTCCTTTATAGTAATGCCATGGAATTTATATTAACAGTTTCTTGTCATCATCCCCGTGCAATCCGTACAGCCGTATCAAACATCATTATTAATATTAATTACTTAAGCTAATATCACGTGAAGCTAAATGTTCTTTAATTAGGATAATTTCATAAAATGTAGTAAATTTGTGCTGAGAAGTTGGCAATGAATAATTAATAATAACTGTCCATCCATATGACTGTTTTGAAAACTTGAGCTGGAAACTGCTAATCAGGTTTGCTTGGCCTAACCAGATACATGAGTATCTGCACGTTTTTCACCTTATAGTTCTGCTGCTATAAATCGGACGCCTTTAATCCGAATGACAAAAAAAACAAAAGAGTTCCACTTTTACTCTTAGGTGACGCTGCAGTAAAAATGTTAGACCGATAGTTCAGGTGACGTTTTGCGTAGGCGTGCGCAAAAATTTCCGTCAAATTTGAACGTTTTTGTTGAATAACTTCGCACATGTGGTTTATATTTACATCAAATGAGACTCCTAATTGTAGGTTGTAAAGATCTATCGGTGTACCAAACTTGAACAAAATTTCCTAAAAGTTAAATATGTTTTTCTATCAAATAAAGTTTCCGTAGTTCTGGTGCGAAGAAATGAAAAGAAACTCAATCAAAATTGGAGATGTTATATCTCAGGTATTTCTCAATATGTTGCTTTGGAATTTGGTAAGTTAGGTAAGGTTCCAGTAGAGCACATCCTCTAAAATATTTGATAGTCTGTATTACCACAGTCTGAGATACAGAAGGTGGAAAATCGCTAAACTATCACTCCTGTTAATAACACACATAGTGTGTCCTGCAACAGGTTGTCTTGATTTTGTCTTCAGCAACAGCAACTTTGTTCCTAAAATTTTGTTGAGATAACTATTGAGGCGCATTTGATACGGAAGGATTAGCCAAGAACGTTTGTAGAAAGGGTAGTTCCATAAGTACGATGAAAGAAGAGTATGGTAGTCTCACATATATAAATATGCCGTGAGTTTATATACCTCGATAATCAGTCACTAATTACAGGCCCGGCATGGCCAGGTGGTTAGGGCACTCGACTCGCAATCTGAGGGTCGCGGGTTCGAATCCCCGTCCCACCAAACATGCTCGCCCTTTCAGCCGTGGGGGCGTTATAATGTGACGGTCAATCCCACTATTCGCTGGTAAAAGAATAGCCCAAGAGTTGACGGTGGGTGGTGATGACTAGTTGCCTTCCCTCTAATCTTACACTGCTAAATTAGGGACGGCTAGCGCAGATAGCCCTCGTATAGCTTTGCGCGAAATTCAAAACAAACACTAATTACATCAGAATTAAGATTTAACAATAACGTAACTTTGCATAAAACATTAAAACCAAACTAAAACCCAATTTTAACAATGGCTCATGGAGGTAATATTTGCCACATAGAGACTCGGCACTGTATCTACGCGCTCGTATCTCCAATTAGTCAGGCAGCGAAGTCTCACCCTCGATACGTCCCCCACATGCGCATGATTTTAACACGGGTGGACAAAACTGATATTTCTTTTAACACTGGAAATGGTTCAAGCAGTAGGCTTAAAAAAGACGAGTTACAATTTGAAAAATACAGAACCTTAACTTTATAAGCTGTGAAGATGAGAGATAAACATGCTGTTCCTATACGTTTTCAAATGATGTTTTTTTTAAATACAGAAGTAGAAAACTCCAATCAATATTGTAACTTAACAGGTAAGGTACATCTTTTTGGTTAAAAATAAAAATAGTTTTGTTGTACGTGCACTCTGACACCTCTAGGTCATTTTACTTTAACAGCCTCTGAATGTTGCTGAAACACACACTTTCTCCAGATCATCACCTGTCTGTCACCCGTCATAAAGGATACTAACGGACAGCAACATAACAAAGTGTAGCATTTTCCCACACGAATGAATTAACAATGGCTAAAAGTTTGGCAATATTAGTTCAGAAATGTGCATTTCTTGGTTTCTTTCAGTTGAAAATGGCCAGGGCTGTCAGAATAACTAAGGTTCAAAAGAACCGGATTGTTACCTAAAAATGATCAAGTCATTTGGCCAAACATGACTAGACGGGTTGAATAAATACATCCTAGGTGTTGAGAATGACTAGGCTCAACAGCTGATAATGGCTACAATGAAGGGTTGAAATCATAGGTTGGGTTTTTGGTAGGTACAGGAATGCCTAGAATCAGGGGTTGCGAATTACTAAATACTCTAAAATTAAGAACAACTAAGCTCTAGCGCAAAAACTGATTCGATTTTAGGGATGATAACAATCCAGACAGTCAATTATTGGGTTGAGAATAAACAGGCTTTAAAGATGAGAAAGACTAAGTTCTGAGGTTTAGAATAACTAAGTTCTAAAGTTGAGAAGTGAATCTCTATTCTCCACCCCAGTACATAGTTATCCTCTACCTCAGGTAATTTTTATTCTCATCTTTAAAGCCAGATGAGTTTCAGCCCCAAAACCGGACTATTCTTAATCCTAAGACACATTCGAAACCGGACTATTCTTAATCCTAAGACACATTCGAATATTTAACTCTAAGATTAAAAGCGACTATATCATAAGATTTAGAACGACTACATTATTGGGCTGAGAATGATCAAGATCAGGGCTGACAACCAGGTTTTATGGCTGAGAATGACCAAGCTCATGACTGACAATCAGGTTTTATGGCTGAGAATGACCAAGCTCATGATTGACAACCAGGTTTTATGGCTGAGAATGACCGAATTCAGGACTGACAACTAGGTTCTATGGCTGAGAATGACCAAGCTCAGGACTGATAACCAGGTTCTATGGCTGAGAATGACCAAGCTCAGGACTGATAACCAGGTTCTATGGCTGAGAATGACCAAGCTCAGAGCTGATAAACAAGTTCTATGGCTGAGAATTACCACATTCAGTAGTTCAAGAGATGTAAATAATTAATTAGTTTAAATAAAATCGTGAAACTTATTTAAATCCCGCAATAGTAAAAAACACGATGTTATTCTACCGTAGCTATTAGAGAAAAACAAAACATGTGCATCTTATCTTTTTGTTTTCTCCTTGATTTTAAAAAAATAAAGAAATGCACACCACTAAGGTGAGAATTATAATAAAATGAAGAAGCCAAGTGTGATTTTGTAAGAAACCCAAACTTGTATAGTTTGAACAAAATCAACTTTCCTTATATAAAGAAACATGCGTCGACTTAAGTAAGAATTCAACCACACTAATCACAATTTACTGGCAACGTTGAGCACATATTATTGCATATAATTAAACACTTCACAATGAAAAACAAGATTGTTCTTCATCATCACATGACATTGGAATAAAGCAGCTCCATTCCAATCTCTGTCTAAAACTTCTTATTCCAGCTCTTTCCAAGTATCGCGAAAAATAAAAATAATTATTACACGAATATGTATAAACTACTTTTATATTTCTATAGTAATTGTTCTCCAATGTTGCCCTACATAAACAACAAGAATGTAGCACGTGTTTAATCCTTAGCGAGTTTATTTTTATGTTACAAGTTAAGCAACCCAAGGGTAACAACTCTATTAGGTTCAACATTGTCCGAATAGTCTTGCGGTACACGTTAGCAAAACAAAGCCTTCAAACGTAGGAACACGCCTATATTACCAAGTTGTTTATACCGTTGAATCTGACGTTGTTTTTTTTTTGGAATTCCGCTAATCTACTCTGACGCCAATAGCCCATTAAAACCGGTATATGTCCTACATATAATCAACTAGTAAACTCGGATATATTGTCTGAACACATTCACGTACCAAACTTTTCGGCGACTCAGTATAACCTTATTTTGTCCAAGTCCTCGCCACAGACTTTTAACCCAGATTGGGAGAGGTAAAAAAGGTAGGGTCAAGAGATTCTTACGTTATGCAGTCACTTTAAGTTTCTCTAGATATAGACAACAATTAGTGAATGTAACACAAAATTATTGAAAACATTAAAATGAAGAAGATTGTTTGTATAATTACATAAAATATGGCTACATTAAAAGCTTTTTGTTGGAATATAATATTCTCTAGTTACATACATCTTTAAAATTACGTTTATATAACCCATAACTGATAATAAATGCTCGTAAGATGTTCATCTTTGTAAATAGAAGAATCTTCAGAATGTTCTTTAAAATTGATGCGAATCGTATCATACATTACACGGGATAAACTAAGCTGCATAATAACACATAACGTTAACACTATCTTTCAAAATGAAAGCAAAAAATATAGTACCGGGACAATCATCGGGCTATGTTACTGAAGTGTCAGTCAATAGAGTAACTACTATTCCTCCCGCTCTCTCTGCAAAACTTTATAACCCCCCCCCCCAAAAAAAAGCAGAGAATACACTGTTAAAATAAAACGGTTTTTTTTAAATAAAAAATAGAAGAACAAGAACACAAGCACGAAAAATTGAAAGCCTAAATTTTCATTATTCTGGTCTTCTTATTGGCAAAAACATCAATTGTTTGTAATTAATAAAGCACAAAGCTACACAATGGGCTATCTGTGCTCTGCCCACCACGGGTATCGAAACACGGATTCTAGCGTTGTAAGTCCGCAGACATACCGCTGTGCCACTGGGGACGCAAAAACATCAATGAGATATTTTAGATCGAAAATCTTTGGCTGGTTTACTTTCGATAACTAGAAGGGAAAGATTATTTAAGCGTTCTCGGTTCATGTTACTTCTTAAATAAGTTTTTATAAGTTTTGGTTTACTAAATGATTGTTCCCCCGTCGCTAAAGTCACTGGTAAAGTAAAAAAAAAAAGGTGAAATCGCTGTATTTACTTCTGAAAAATCACTTTCTATGAAGCTATATTTAAATAACAGTAAATCAACTAATTCCTTCAGGCTTGTTGTTTCATGAATATCGTTTTTAATGAAGGAAGTTGCATTTATCAGCTGTAATGGAAATCGTCTACACAAATCCTCTTTAAAGATGAGTTGCAAATATTTTGCCGATCTCGTTATGTCAGCTTCAGTTTTTGTTCAAAGTGTTTTCTGGTTCTATAAAACTATAAAACTTCGTCATTCTGTCCATTCCGGTAAAACGTGTCTGTCTGTTTGTTTGTAGTTAAGCACAAAGCTACACAATGGGCTATCCGTGCTCTGCCCACCACGGGTTAATAGCGTTGTAAGTACACTGACATACCGCTGTGTCACTGGGGGGCAAACGTGTCTGTATCTAGTATTCATATTCACTCACTAATCCTCACTCGCTGAGGATTATAGTCTCACCAACAGAAAAGAAATATTCAAAGTCACTGTTTTTAGTCGCAATGTAGATATTGTCAATACGAAGACATCACGTCGAATTTTGAGTTTGTATTTATAAGTGTAATGCTCTGCAAGATATTTTCAAAAATTAATTACGCGTCACAGATATCACAGAAAAATAATTCGAAACAAATGCAGCGTTAAAACTTACTGTGTCAGATTTGAAGGATCATAGATTAATGTATCAATAACTAAAAGTAAAAACTGTTGAATTTACTAGAAAATTGGGAATAGTTTCTAGAGTTTCGGGAAAGTGCCAACCAAAATTTTAAAGGACTTTTCGACGAACTCACTGAGGATTATAATATTCGCATAGCTTCTCTCACGTCTCGTTTTGTACTTTTTTAATGCTAACTCTGTCAAAGCTTTCAATATGTCCAAATAACGTAATTCTACAGCATTTAATACATTTATTCCAGCAGACCACCTAGTAGGGTTCAGTCCTTTGTTGTAATGTCTGATTCTGTTGATGCTACATAAACAAAGATAAGAGTAAATTCGGTGACGAGGAACCCAC